CTGACTCCTGCACAGGGGGGCCTCTGACCCCAGCAAATACAATGCACAACATAATATTAATATTCCGCTTTTTAATATTCTTATCATCGGGGGCGCGCCGCTGGATCTCCCCAGAGGGGGGGGGGAACCCCTCCCCCCCATCCCTTTCCTCGATCCGTCGTCGGGGACCGCCCCCCCCCTTCCCCGATCCGTCGTCGGGGACCGCCCTCTCTCCCCTCCTTTCCTGGTCCGTCGTCGGGAACCCCCCCCTCCCCCCCTTTCAAAAGGGGGGGGGGGTCCGAACCGCCCCCCGCCCCCCTCCCCCCCTTTGGCCGCCCCCCCCCCCCCCTTTCGCCGCGCCGCCCCCTGACTCCGGAACCCGACCCGCCGCCCCCCCTACCCCCCAGCCCCCACCCTAACCCGAACCACTAACCCCAGCCACAAAGAGTAATCACTACTCATGACTCCCTACCCACTACTGACTACTCGCTATTCGCTACTCACTTCTCACTACCCCCTACTCACTACTCACGACTCTCTACTCACTATCCACTAGTCACTACCCACCACCCACTACTCGCTACTTACTACTCCCTACTCCCTACTCCCTCCTCCCCACTCACTACTCACTACTCACTCCTCACTACCCACGACAAATACTCACTACTCAGTAATCACTATTCATTACTCCCTACTCACTGCTCACAAATCACTACTCATTACCCAGTACCCACTATCCACTACTCACTACTCACTACTCCCTGCCCACAAATTACTACTCACTACCCACTACTCGCTACTCGCTACTCCCTACACAATACTGACTACACAGTACTCAATACTCACTACTCGCTACCCCCATAGCCGCTACTCTAGATACTCACTACTCATTCCCCGCTGATCACTACTGGCTACGCACTACTCACTACTCCCTACTCACTAGTCACTACATAGCCTCTAGTCGCTAGTCACTAGTCAGTACTCACTACCCACTACGCACTACCACTAATCGCTACTCACGACACACTATTCGCTACCCAACTCTTACTACTCACTGCTCACTACTCCCTACTCCCTACTCCCTACTCACTATTCACCAAGCACTACTTACTACTCGCTACTCCCTACTCGTTACTCACTAATCACTACCCACAACTCACTACTGACAACTCTCTACTCACCATCCACTACTCACTTCGCCCTACTCGCTCCTCACTACTCACGACTCGCTACCCCCTACTCGATGCTCAGTACTCACTACCCACTGCCACTACCCCCTACTCTCTATTCATCACTAATCTCTACTCACTACTCAGTACTCACTACTCGCTACTCGCTACTCTCTACTCACTACTCACTACTCACTACTCACTACTCACTACGCACTACGCACTACTCACTACTCACTACTCACTAATCACTGCTCGCCACCCACTACTCAATACCCACTACTCACTACCCACTACTCATTACTCCCTACTCCCTACTCAATACTCACTACTCGCTACTCGCTACTCACTACTCACTACTCACTAACCGCTACTCACTACTCATTTGATCAGTGCACACTACTCACACATTAACTACTCACTACTTTCCACTCCCTACTCCCTACTCCCTACTTGCCACTCACTACCCACTACTCACTACCCAATACTCACTGATCACCACGCACTAACTCACTACTCACTACTCCCTACTCCCTACTCCCTACTCCCAACTCCGCACTCCCCACACACCTTCTCCGGCGCAGAAAGGAGAGGCGAGAGAGGCCCCCCCCCCCTGGCTTCCTTTCCGGCGCAAGGGGGGGGAGGGGAGGGGGGGGGTTCCGACCCCCCCCTCCCCCTTTTTCCAGCGCCAAGGGGGGTGGGGCCCGGACCCCCCCCCCCCCCTTCAAGGGAAAGGGGGGGTTCGGTCCCCCCCCCCCCTTAAGGAGGGAGGGGGGGGGGGGGGGGTAAGCGCGCGTGAGTCACTTTACAACCAGAAGCGCACTTTACAACCAGATGGGCCACTTTACAACCAGCTTATAAAATCCAAGAAGGGCACTTTACAACCAGGAAGGGCACTTTACAACCAGGCAAGTAAAAACACCGATTGGATGCACGCGTGCCTTCCCCTGAAAACTCCGTGGGCAAGCGCAAGGGTGGCTTTGGGCTCTTTGAGGCATGTTGGTTGTAAATTTGCCCATCGCGCACGGCGACCTGGTGCGCTATGGCGCGTTGCGTGCTGGCGGGCGGATTCGAGTTTTGACCTGCTCCCTGAGCTCTGTAGGTCAGTTCTGCCATTGCTGGCTCTGCCTTTTTTTTTTTTTCCTGACGGGCGAAGGCTAGTCGCGCCGGACATACGAATAAACCATGATCCCGTCCAAGACTGGAGCTGCATGACAGTGGAAAGCTGCAGTGGGAGATGTGGTGGAAGCGGGGGCTACAATGGGAACTGCACGGTGTTGGGAAGCTGCGGTGGCAACTGTGGTGGTCGCCAGGCGACGGTGGGAACTGTGGTGGTAGCTGGGCTGCAATGGGATTTGCGGTAGTAGCGGGGGGTCAGTCGGAATTGTGGAGGTAGCGGGGCTGCAGCGGTAAGTGTGGTGGTAGCAGGCACAGAGGTGGCGGTGATGCGCTGTCACGGTGGCTCAAGCTGCTGCGCTGGCACGGTGGCTGAGGCTGCTGCCCGAGCACGATACCTGCGTTGCTGCGCTGGCACCGTGGCTGACGCTGGAAGAAACGATCTTCGAAATAGTTGCATTTATTCGGGACGTTGAACCTCGATCTTCCAAGACGAGGAGCAGCAGGGGGCCAACTGGAGCGGGCGCACTTAGCCCCTTGCAGAACACCGTGGGGCTTCAGGGGCCAACGTGGCCCAAGAGACCCGCGGTGCCAATGGCCTAGTTCCCTGGAGCGCTGGGCCCTTGTGGAGGCCACTGGGCCCGCTTCCTGTGAGTGATCCCTAAAATGGGCAGCGCGTCGCCCTGAGCCTTCCTACGTATGCTGTCGCCTTATTCCCGTGCGAGCACGGGGCCCTTGTTGAGGCCGCTTGGCCCCTGCTAGCAAGCCCTGTCTTAGTCTGCTGGGCTCAGAGCGCCAGAGCGTCCAGGCGCTCGGGCTCAGAGGCATCGCTGGGGCCTGCTCAGAGCGTCCAGGCGCTCGGGCTCAGAGGCATCCAGCTCGGGGCATCGCTGGGGCCTGCGCAGAGCGTCCAGGTCCTCGGGCTCAGAGGCATCGCTGGGGCCTGCGCAGAGCGTCCAGGTCCTCGGGCTCAGAGGCATCGCTGGGGCCTGCGCGGGGCGTTCAGGCGCTCGGGTTCAGAGGCATCGCTGGGTCCTGCGCAGAGAGTTCAGGCGCTCGGGCTCCAGAGCGCCCACGTGCTATGGATCATTTTTCAGAGCGTCCGCGCGCCCTGGAGCACTTTTGAGAGCGCCCACTTGCTCTGGAGCATTTTTCAGAGCGCCCAATTGCTCTGGGGCATTTTTCAGAGCGCCCACTTGCTCTGGAGCACTTTGCGGAACGCCCAAACACGCACGGCCACTCTGAGCTGGTTGTAAAGTGGTCCGTTATGGTTGTAAAGTGGCCCGTTCTGGTTGTAAAGTGGTCCGTTCTGGTTGTAAAGTGGGCCGTTCTGGTTGCAAAGTGGGCGTTCTCGATGAGAAAACATACTTTCCAAGCCTATGTTGGTTGTAAAGTAACCCATCTGGTTGTAAAGTGGCTGTTCTGGTTGTAAAGAGACCGAATCTCGGGTTCGGACCCCCCCCCTTGGAAGCGGGGGAGGGGGGGGGGGTCTCTGGGAGCACAGCCCTCCTTTAGTGTGTTCAGGGAGATCCACTGGCTTGCTTTCCTTATTACTGATAAGATTTATATTCATATTATTAGCTTCCTTGGGGACATATAAGTTTAAACAGATCCTTAGAATTGTTATGAGTCTGGATAGTATGGATATTCTTACGATTATAAGTATGAGCATTCGTTTTCTCAGTAGTGGTCTCATTCGTTTGAGTATTAATAAGAATAATACTATGATTCGTGCTCGTTTTCGTCATCGTCATCGTTTTTGTCTTCGCGTTCGTCCTCTTACGATTAGTATTGTTACTACTCCTTTTCATCTTCCGCATCCTCCTCCTTCCCCTCCTCCTCCTCATCCTCCTCCTTGCCTTGGCTTGACTCCTTGAATAAATCCTCCCTGTCGCACCCCAAGGCGCGTTGGTAGAGCGTGCCGGGCGTTTCGTTTGAGACGTCCTCGCCCTTATTACCCGGATGGATGGCGGGCCGCGTTCAAAATGTGGCTCTCGCATCAGCGCCGCGCAGGTTCGTCTCAACCTGTTGCAAGAACTTCACGGATGGAGGGCGGGCCGCTTTCAAAATCTGGCTCTCTCCTTAGCGCCGCGCACACTCGTGTTCAGAAATTGCAAGAGTTTCAGGCATCGGGGTGGTTCATGTAGCTCTCGTTAGAACGCCGCGCACATAGCTTTGAAAGTGTACAGCAGTGTCAAGGATATTCATGGTTGCCGTCCCAGACATGGTGTTCTGGCACGACGTCGGACTCTCAGAGCGCACCAGTTATGCTGATGCGCAGTGTTGGGGTTCCAGGAACGGCGTTCTGGCACGATTCAGGATCGTCAAGACGCAACAGTAACGGTGATTCGCTGCTTTGGAGTCCCAGGAAGGGCGTTCTCGCACAAATCTGGATGTTCAAACGGCACTTCCCTCAGTGAGAATGGAATCGTGAGGTGGCCTCTGAAGACAGAACTTGGAGGCAGGCTTCATTGCAATATCGTTAATGAAACTTGGGTTTACACTGGTCCTCTTCCTCCTCATCCACCCTCGCTCTGTCCTCCTTTCCTCCTCCTCCTCCTCCGAAGAGAACGAGAAATCCAAGCGCAAGATCACCCAAGGCCGAAAACAAAAAACCTGACTGGGTCGACCCGGGAATCGCGACTGCTCGACTCATTGCCCTGTTCCCGTGCCTCTCCCTCGCCTCAGATAATTACGAGCCCGAGGCGGGCGTCCTTGTGCGCGTGGCGCGTACTTTTCTGGCGCCCGCCGCCTCCGAAGGCCCAAGCTCCGCGCGGCTGAGGACCACCAGGCTGACGTTGCAGAACTCCGCTCGCGCCCCCTCCCCCAGGCCCTCGAACGCGTCCTCTCGGGGCGGACGAAATGGTGGGATAGCAAAGGGAGGGGGTACCGAATCAGCTCACGCAACTTCTCAGGCGACCTGGGCGCCGTGGGCGCGCATGCATCGAGGCAGGCACTAGCGCCTGGCAGCGGGGCCGTACCCCCACTTTCCCAATCCCGCCTTTGCGTCCGACCCGGATGATCCTCGTCATCTGGCTTTCGGCGCGTAACTCGGCTCTCCAGCGGCCCTCAGGGACGATCTGGGCACCTCCGCAACGCACTCGGCGAAGCACATCTTCTGGGGAGCATCCTGAGACTCGAAAACCGCCGAGAGAGGATACTGGCTGAAACCCCGAAGTGTCTGCACTTTCGCTCGGCCCGATCCTCGACGTGGGGGAAGCGTTCCCGCGCCAACTCCAAGAATCGCGCCTCCGAGGCGCTGCGCCGCTCCCAGGCTAGCAGCACCCGGCCCGTTCGCCCGGCCAGCGCATCCAGCGAACCCACGAGGGCGGGGAACAGCTCCGGCAGGTACCTCCACTGCAGTCAAGCCACCTCCTGACCCCCCAGGAGGAGCAGGGCAGAGGAGACGGAGGAGCAGGAGGAGGGTAAGGGAGGATGAGTATGAGGAGGAAGGAGGAGGAAGGAGGAGGAGGAAGAGGAGGCCATGAGGGAGTGGACGGGAGGAGGAGGGTAAGGGACAGGAGGAAAGGGAGGAGGGCGTAGGTAAGGGACAGATGGAGGAGGAGCGGCAGACGAAGGAGGAGGAGGAGGAGGACGAGGACGAGGAGGAGGAGGAGGAAGGGAGGAGAAGGGGGAGGAGAAGAGGAGCGGGAGACGAAGAAGGAGGAGGACGACGAGGAGGAAAAGGGGAGGAGGAGGAGGAGGAGGAAGGGAGGGGAACGGACAGGAGAAGGAGTAGGAGAGAGGAAAAAGGAGAGGGGAGGAACGGGATGGGAGAAAGGAGGAACGATCCCCAAGCGCCCCCCTGTGACTGCGTTGGCCGAGGCGCACGACATGATAGCAAAACGGGGGTAGCGAATCATGGCAACGTAGTTTCTTCCACAGAACCTTCTGGCGGCCGACGCGCAAAGCATCGAAAAAGACGCCCAGCGCCAGGGGCTTCAGACCAGTTGCACACAACACAGTTGGCAGGCCCCCTTCCCCATCCCCTACCCATTTTCCATCCCTCTTCCTTCCGACCCAGGCTTGTCCGCCTCTCTCACCCCCGCTCTCGCACCCCCCCCGCCCTCTCCCAGCCCCCGCCTTTGTCACCAGGCCCAGAGAGGTGCAGAATTTCGGCCTCTCCCACTGCCCATTTCGCACCCCCCCTTTCCCGATCCCCCGGGTCCTGGGCAACGTAACTTCGCGAATCGCGCCCCGTGATGCGCCGCGCGCAGGCCTCTTCGCGCCTTCGTGCCGCCGCTCTGGAAACGGGCGCCCCTGCGACCCAAGCATCGACGCGCGAGGCGCGGCGACATTCGCGCCCCCGCCCAAGCATTATCAAAGTCGCCCGCCCCGAATTGGAGGGCAACGGAAGATGAGGGCGAAGGCGGGGGGGGCGACTGAACGAACGACCAAACGAAAAAAACAACCACAGCGGACAACTGCCCGGGTGTCGCGAAACCAGGGAAGCGAGGCTGCTGCTTGGAGGGGGAAAGGGAGGCGAAGGAGGAGAAGGACGAGAGGGAACACGAGGAGACTAGGAGGAAAGAAGGAGATGGACGGGAAGGAAAAGAGAAGGATGAAGCGGAAGGTGGACGAGGAGGAAGAGTACGAGGGTGGGGAGGACGAGGAGGAGGAGGAGCGGGGGAGGAAAAGGGGGAGGAGGAGGAGGAGGAGGAGGAGGAGGAGGAGGAGGAGGAGGAGGAGGAGGAGGAGGAGGAGCGCGCCCCAAACATCGGTCCTCATCCTGAGCAGCGGCGGCAGCAGGCGGCTGGCGGGTTGTCGGGGCCTCGGCCGGTGGGCCATCGGAGGCCGTTGCAGCAGGCGTTTCAGGCCTGGAAGCCTTCTAGCGACGACGCTGAGCCTCGCTCGAAAAAATATCAGGGAGTTCGGCCCGGAGAAAAAAACGTAGGTTCTAAGAGAATACGTAGCATATAAGATGTGGTAAACAGCAATCACGCTAGCATCTGCTGACTCTTCTACTTCGGGGGGGTATGTCGCAAACAAGAGGATGCGGAAGCCGATTCCAACTCGCGTAGCTTCCAGGCAGGAGGGGGAAGAGGGCAGGCAAGAGGCTCAGAGCGGCAGGGCAGCGCAGGTAGTGGTCGTCGAATCTCCAAACATGGCCGTGCACCCGAAGCGGCAAACCATGATCTCAGATCTGAATACCCTGGTGGTCGGGCAGCAGCTGCAGATACGCAGTGGCGGCAAAGTGCGCAGACTTGCTGGCTAGCAGATGGACTATTCAATGCAAGTGGCCGGCCACCTCATTCGGAGCGTCAGGCCCGAAATGTCTGACCCTCGCGAGAAGGAGAGGAGCGACGGGAGGACCAGGATAGGTGGCCTTCAGACCTGGATGCGCTTTCCTTTGAACGCCCGCGGCATCGGGATCGGGGGGCTCTGCACACGGTTTCGTGAAATCAATGCGCACATCAAGAGAAGCCCCAGTACTTGAGTTGTCCAAACATCCACGTTGTCCAAAACTCGCGGAACCAAAGTGCGCCGAATTTAACTTAGACGACAATCAAGCCAGGTCGCGATCTCAGGAAAGACAAAAATTCACACATAGGTTCGTCGCATGGACGCCTTAGACGGGTGAAACATATCCCTGAGTACTTTGTCAAAACCAAAGGCATCAAATTTACGGGCGACATTTGTCGGCGCCGCGCTTCTCGGTCCAGCCATGGGCCTTCGCAAGGCACTAGAACTGCGAGGCGCGCGACAATGCGGATTGCGCCAGCAAGTTACGCGTTCGGTTGTTCTGCGCCACAGAGAGCTTCAAGGTCCTGATATGTCCCACTCGCCAACAGGGAAGCGCAGTCACGCGCCGTCGGGGGCCAAGAAAAACACGCAGGAGTACGCGGCAACTCCAATTTCATCATTGGGAGTGCCAGCCTGTCCCGATACTTCGCTCGCTGCTTGCGTGTCCATCTCATTCGCTCGCAATGACGATCAAGCACTTCTGGCAATGAAGATAAATACCAAAGATATGACTAGCACCCCCCACCGATTCACTACGGCACAGAGCGGAAGACAAAGATCACCAGAAGCGACGCAGACACCCTTCGCGCAAGCAAATGGAAAAGCTGGGTGCGGAGCCAGAAAACGCCAGGGACCTCGCACAAACGCCGGCGGCCCCCTCAACCTCGAACGAAGTGTCCGACAACCGAACCCGATGCGCTCATCCCCCGCGAGAGCGGCCCTTTCGGGTGATAACCCACGCGAGGGGGCCGAAAAGCCCACGTGCCAAGCTTCCCCTGTCAAAACCATTCAGGACGTGGGCCATGGCTCGCCTGCCAAGGCGGCCAGGACCCCGTCAGTTCGTCCTGCTGGCGCCCTTCTGCGACTCGCAAGAGCGCCCCGACGACGCCGCCGCAATCGCCCCCTCGCGACGCCGACGACGGGTGGGGCGCGCGCGCGCCCTCATACCTATCACACGGGAACCAACGCCGCGACCCCCCGCTTCACGCTCGGGCGCAGCAACAGCAGCGGGGGGCGATGGAAAGCGGAGCGGGAAGGGCCCAGACGGACCCGGGCCCCCCAAAACCCCGACTGGAATACCGTCAAAAACAAGCACGCGCCAATAACGAAAGGCAAGGAACACCGCCCGCCCCCCCTCAACAAACAAACAACAACAACAACAACAACAATCATTTTACCCGAACGCGTGGTGTTCTCCCCAGTGCCAGGGTTTTCATACGACACCAGGCAATACCCCCACTTCGTGGGGGGGCATTACAAGCTCTACCAAATATCCAAACGACTCTTCGCGACCACCCAAACCCAGCTTCCCGCCCTATGACGTTGGGACACTTCACTTCGTGGCGTGCGGACGACCGTGGCTACTACACTGGCGTGGGGTACACACCCACAGAACTTGGTCACTTATTCGGGGTCGTGTGATTTTATGATGCGCGGTGCTAAAATTCTTAAGAACCCAATGGTTTTTGGAGATTTCGGCGTGCGCGCGCGAAGAAAAAACGAATGTGTCCCGCATGGTATTATTTGACAGGGATGATGGCCCTGGCAGGTGCGCAACCGTTGTCGCAGAAGTTCGAAAAAGTTGCTCGCAAAAGCCCGTTTGACAGAAATGTTTAAAAAGTGTTGGTTTCCTACGAATCCGCAAGAGCGCGCGGGATGAGATTTTGACATTTTTTTGTTGAAAAACCATTGGTTTTTTGATGTTTTTATGTTAAAATCGCTCCGAACACTAAGCTTTTGGAAGGATTTCGTCTTGCGCGCGCGAATGTCCACTTTACCTTATTTTTTGCAAGGGATTCTTGAAATTTGATTATATTAGAACAAGAAATGTCATTTTATAGTGTTTTTTGCAAGGGAAAACGGATTACAACAAAACAACCGGATCTGGATCACATCGTTTTACCTGAGGCTTCCTCACGAAAATGATGAAAATGTAGCTGCGGCCTAGGCGGCGCAGGGGGGCGTGCACCAGGGGGCCCAACAATAATTATTCTTTAGAATTAATATAATGTTCAACAACAACAACAACAACAACAACAACAACAACAACAACAACAACAATTACTAGCACGTGGGGACACTCCGTTCTCACCAGTGCCAGGGTTTTCATAGGAGGCGGGCAATACCCCCACTTTGTGGGGGGGCCGGTTCAAGCTCTACCAAATTTCCAAACGACTCTTCGCCACCACCCACACCCAGCTTCCCGCCCTATGACGTTCGGACACTTCACTTCGTGGCATGCGGACGACCGTGGCTACTATTCAGGGCCCCGCGGCCGACGACGACGGCGTGCGCGCGCGAAGAAAAAACGAATGTGTCCCGCATGGTATTATTTGACAGGGATGATGGCCCTGGCAGGTGCGCAACCGTTGTCGCAGAAGTTCGAAAAAGTTGCTCGCAAAAGCCCGTTTGACAGAAATGTTTAAAAAGTGTTGGGTTTCCTACGAATCCGCAAGAGCGCGCGGGATGAGATTTTGACATTTTTTTGTTGAAAAACCATTGGTTTTTTGATGTTTTTATGTTAAAATCGCTCCGAACACTAAGCTTTTGGAAGGATTTCGTCTTGCGCGCGCGAATGTCCACTTTACCTTATTTTTTGCAAGGGATTCTTGAAATTTGATTATATTAGAACAAGAAATGTCATTTTATAGTGTTTTTTGCAAGGGAAAACGGATTACAACAAAACAACCGGATCTGGACCCCATCCACTTTTCTAAAGCTTTCCCGAAAAATGATGAAAATGTAGCTGCGGCCTAGGCGCGGCGGGGGGGCCGTGCACCAGGGGTCCCAACAATAATTATTCTTTAGAATTAATAATGTTCAACAACAACAACAACCACAACAACAACAAAAAAAAAAAAAAAAAAAAAAAAACGCCCGCGAGCACGA